TCACAACTCATTACTATAAAAGTAATCAAGACATTTAGGTCAAACCATGATTGTATGCACAAAATAAAGAAAATGAATAAACAATTGTACGAATCTTACATCAAAGTCGTAAGCCCTCCCTATTACAGAACCCGTCCTGAGCAAATTTGCAAATTTAAACTGTCTAATATTTGATTGAATTTATTTTCCCTCGCTAATTCAGAATAAGGGCTTCTCCATACAGGAACTTGCGGTAGACTGTATGACATACATGCGGCAGCGGCAGATTACCAGCAGGAGTCGAGATCAATACTAGCAGACGAGCATTATTTACTTTTCATGTTTCAATTCGGAAAGAGTTTAAACAAAATAGTTTTCGACAAGACAATCATAAAATATTGATACACATTTGGAGAAACATAATGAATACAAAGAAATATTAACTTAAGCGTACACTGACTTAAGACATGTATCATTATAAACAATTACATTACTTGAAAAGTCATTCTTTTTAAAAACCAACCAATCTTAGGAAATACACAATAATTTTACGCTTCACCCAGCTCTCTCTCTCTCTCTCTCCAGCTTGTCCAATTTTTTTCTGCAGTCTAATGCACCCCAGGTGGATGCCGGAGGTGGGCTGAATTTTTTTCGATGGTGGAGGTGGGGGCAGAGGAGAGGGTAAAGGAGATCTAGGCGGTGGTGATAGGGATACAAGTGGTGGGGAAGGTGATCATGCTCGTGATGGTTGTGGTGGCGAAGGAGCTCAAGCCGGGAGATTTTCACCGCTTGTAATTTATATCAAACGGTATTGGCCCGTTGGGCTCAGCCGGTGCCATGGGACTGCACCATAACGCATTTAAGGTTTTTTTTTGTTACATAACTCTTCACGCAGTGGTATGGATGCTAATTAATTAGGAGATATCAATATCATATTTCATACTATCACCTAGCCCGTACGGCTAGAGCCGAATTAGTAAGATGGGGGTTGGGTTTTCCGGTCTTTCAATTATATCGCCTTCATATTGAACGAAAAATATTAATCAAATAGCACTAACCATCATGAACATTTGTCATTGACAATATTGCCCAAAATATAGGTCGTAGATGATATATTAAATATTGCTTTAAAACTTCTTTGAATCGCTGTTCTAAATCAAGATCCCGCTAAATGTGTAGTTTTATAAAGCGAGTTGGAGGGGGAAACATATTTTATGTTCCTCCAAATATTTCGAGAAAACTCGATTCTAGCCCTCCCAACTCGCAAGAATACAAAATGAAAAATTTAAATATTTCTCTATCATGAAAAAAGGTGTTCTATTGAAAAAGAATCGAAACAGCGCGTATAGAAGACAAGAATAAGAAACGAGGAATAATTTGCTTGCCGAAAGTTGTACATCTATTCAATTATAAAATTATCAAAGCAAAAATATAAAAAAGTACAATTATTTCAATTCACAATTTCTATGTCACGGCCACCTGTATTGGCTTGTCTTTTGTTAACCAGAAAAGCGGAGGCGAGAATGAAAACAAAACCTCCCACAGAAAATCAAATCATGACCGCTATCTTTCGACTTTTGAAGACAATTTCATCATCATATGCCTTCCCTCATTTTAGTCGACCTGATGATTTCTTGTGTTCCTCAACACTCTGGTTATTGCACCTTAAATTTATGGTAAGTATATTTTGTAATTCTCCACTACGATTATTAACTTAGTATATGATATGGTATGTTGTCATTTTCAACTATTTTCCTTGAATATTGTTAGCGTTAAGAATGTAGTTGTCTTTCAGAAGATTTGTTCAGAAGATTCATAATCCGAAGCAGTGGCGTAGACAGGTTCGTACACCTGGGGGGATGACTCGGGGCGGATCTAGCTTTTTGCTAAGGGGGGGGTTGACCAAAATAATGACGATGCGGATCGGAGCATCGTCCACGAGCCGCGAAGCGGCGAGCCGATTTTTTGGGGGGTGTTTATTTGAACCCCGTAAGTGATGTTTTCCTGGCATCTATTAACACAATGGAGACCATAAAAAGCAGTGCATGATAACGTATTTTTAAATCAAGTAACAGTTAAATACACAGTTATATCCAGAGTTATCATGTGTTTGGTTAAGTTACCAGATGAGTTGAATATCTTCTCACAATATTTGCACTTGAAAGGGTTTCTCTCCAGCGTGCGTTCTTTTTTCTTTCTTTTTTTCTTTCTTTTTTCTTTTTTTCCCCTTTTTTTTTGTTTCGTTTGTTTTTTGGGCCGCCAAGGGGGGGTTTAAACCCCCTAACCCCCCCCCCCCCCGTAGATCCGCGCCTGTTTAATCTTGTGGTTATCTTGTGGTTTCCAAACCACAAGATAACCACAAAATACTTGTAAGATTTTCTTTTTTTTACCGTCTGAATTGGCTTTCACCGTGTGAATGCGGCTAAAAACAATAAACACAATTACAATAATGATGAGGATTATTATTATCATCATCATAATTATTATTATTATTAATATTATAATTGTTATCATTATTATTATTACTATTATTATCATCATTATGACTTATCAAGTAAGCAAATATCATTCCCCAAAACCTGGGGGGGGGATGATTGTACATGCCATCCCCCCCCCCCCCACCTTGTGAGGTGGGGGGGATGCATCCCCCTCATCCCCCCCCCCCCCCCCGTTGTCTACGCCCCTGATCCGAAGGGATACGATTATCTTTCCATGTGCTTAATAATTATCTCATCGTTGAAAAGGCCCATAGACACCCACTCCCTATTAGGTGTTGTTGGCAACTAGCTCAACTATATAAAACGGTAAATTTTGATGAATCTCAAATAGCGCCTACGGCCGTAAAATGGTAGCTGCGACCATGAAAATCTCAGAATATGTAGTTGTGATATATAATTTCCAAACGGGAATAGCTAATCGGTCGATTTTAGTCAAAAAAACATTGTTTTATAGCTTAATTAATATCTTGATCTTGAGAGGGAGCTATACAACATCAAGAGTTTATTATTGACAATTTCATAATTTTAGTCTCAATTTCAACCGCGACAACGATCACTGAATATTGTAGGATCGCATATGCTTCCAACATGTTCATTTGAACCAAATTCATGACCCCATACCAAAACTTTGTATTACCAAAATTGATGAAGACAGCCATAAATGGACGAGTACGTTTTTGTTGAATCTCGTATTAGGAGAATAATGGCCACTCTTAACGCTCATAATCCGTCACGGAGTGACGCTGATGTTCAACGCGCATTAATATTATTATTTTCCAAAACTTGATTTAATACATTAGAGCTGTACACAAATTATTCCTTTTAGGTGGTAGATGGCATTGCTTAGTTCAGAATGTCACAGTTCATCATTTTGGCTCTATAAAGCAGTAAACTAAGTTAAACCAGGATTGACTTAGTATAGATATATCAAAGCGAGCCAATCTAGCTATTAAAGCTTATTCGTATTGTTTTGCAAATGTAGATACTCGGACCAATAGGCCATTTTCGTAATGTAACCAAATTTAATGCATAGGTCTTTGTGAAGTGCCTCAATACAAACTATTTCATTCACCTGATAAGAATAATGGTATTTCAATAGACAGAATCCTAACTGCATACATTAGTTGTTGCCAGGTTGGACAAACATTATGGCTTGACCTACCTAGCAACACTTAATATATGCAGTTGCATTCTGACTATTGAAATACTATTATTCCTATCAGGTGAATGAAATAATTTGTATTGAGGCACTTCACAAAGACCTATGCATTAAATTTGGTTACATTACGAAAATGGCCTATTACACGGAGATAGCATGACGTCATCACAGCCACGCATCGTACATATGACGTCATCACCAAGAGAGGTAAATACAAGTCAATGATAAAGTACCGACGTATGACTTCATACTGGTTAGAGTGGTCAAGGCTTGTGCAATAATTGTGCTAAACAATGGTGTGGTGATGACACCCGTACTAGCCCCAAACACTAGTGAGCACTTTTTTCTTTTCTTTTTTGCCCCGGAGCGCTTTTTTTTTTTACTCAACACCCCCCCCCCCCCCCCCCCCTTGACCCCCCAAAAGGTTTTTAAAAATTGCCCGGCCAATGGTGAGTGCCTCTTTTTGAGGGTTTAAGAAGTGCCCCATTTTCACCTCTGATAATTACTCTTTGTACTTTGGCACATGCTCCTTTTCTTTCTTGATAAGTGTTCCCTTTTCCTCTCAGGTTATTTTAAGTGTTGCGCTCGTTTGTAATATGAAATTGTAAAGTAAATAAAGAAATGTAAATATTGATGTGTATACATACATATATATAGTATATCAATATCATGCTTGATTTTGGACCCGTGCGTCGGCGATAGCAGAGCAGTATCATTCTTATCACTTCAATGCAGAAGCAACACAAACAAAAAGAACAATGTCTGTTTTTGGACTTTGTATTCTCTCTCTTGGGAAACATGTCTAGTTAGTGAACTTGTATTAGACGGTTGTCATTGTTAAAATTATTTTCATTAGACGCTCTTTGGTGTAGCGATAATAATGGAAGAAGTGTAGCATGTTTCAAAAGCAAACATAAATATATTAAATACATGAGGATATAGTTTTATGATAAAGTAAGAATAAAATTAGACTTCGAAGAAGTAAAAACGTTTATTAATGTTGCACTCCTTTATCAAAACGCGTACCTTTCTAGGATTGATAATTATTATTTCAATAATGATAATAATAATAATGATAATAATAGTGAGAAGAAGAATAATGATAGTAATAATAGAAATAATTGTAAAAATAGTAATAATAGTACTGTAAATAATAATAATATATATTACTAGACCTATAATTATAACTATTATTATTATAACAATAATAATAATGAAAACAACAATAATATCCATGACAATAACAATAACATTGACAATAATGGTAAAAATGGTAAGAAAAGGGTGATAACATCATCAAAGAGATCTTTCTTGAATCATCTCTAACGGTCAAACTGGTCTTAATTTTGTTTCAGGACTCTTGTTGCCCGAGGAGGTCCCCACAATACAACTCGAGTCTCGGTTTCTCCTCTGGTGTGATGCAAGTCGTATGTGGGGTGTGTACCCTTCTACTAGGGGGTGTCTTCTTTGCATTGGTCTTGGACGTTATTGACACAGGAGCAGGAGTATGGTGCGGGGCGTTCGTAAGTCCCTCAGTCTCTTGATAACACACACCTCGATCATGTTACCTCTTTACCCCATCCCCGCCCTCCCTCTCCCACACCACCCCTCCCCCTCTCTCTCTCTCTCTCTCTCTCTGACACAGGAGCAGGAGTATGGTGTGTGGGGGTGTTCGTAAGTCCCTCTCTTGGAAACAACTACCTCATTACTTCTGTATACCATCCACGCCTGTCCCTTTTCCCTCACCCTCCCCGTAACCTCTCCCTTTCCCTCCCCTCCCCTACTCCCCCTCTATCTCTCTCTCTCTCTCTCTCTCTCTGACACCGGAGCAGGGGTAAGATGTAGGGTGGTCGTAAGTTTCTCTTTCTTGAACACACCTACCTTATTTCTTTTTTTTTACGCAACCCCCCCCCCCTCCTTATCTCTCTCTCTCTCTCTCTCTCTCTTTTATGATTTTATTTTCATTCCATATGTTGACTATTTTGTTTAGTTCGAAATTTGTTCTTCCTCTTTAATTCTTATGACACTTTTCAAATCACATACATGTATGTTTATGTTTGTAATTTCTTGTTTGGGTATTAGCTTTCTCCCTTCACCTTGTTTTATTATATTTCATCTTTAAAGTTTTGTCCTATCTATTTATATTCCATTTGTTGTTCACAATTACGATCTGTGTTATTGGTTTTTGGTTTTTGGTTTTTCGACAGTCTTTGTGATCATGTTAAGTGGAGGAAATCAATGAGACATCTAGTATACTAACCAAACTTGTCAGTTAATTATTACTAATAAAGGAAAATACGCACGTTATAGGTTTTCCATCGATGAGAGTAATTATTTACAGCTGAATTTAATACTTCTTTGCCATTATATTTGATATGTCAGATCTTCATACCAACTGGTGTTCTCGGCATCTTCAGTAAAGGAAAACGAACAGGACTGGTACGTATAAAGTTTTATTTATCACAATATTGATAATCTGGATTTAGTGCTATTTTAAAAATATAATTATATTAATTTATTCATTGCTGCATGGCTATGACTTTTATTATTATTATTATTATTATTATTATTATTATTATTATTATCATTTTCATTATTTTAAACTATTATAATTAAATGTTATTGTTTTTGCTTGTTATCATTACTACAGATCATAGCCTATCTGGTCATGTGTCTCCTATCCTGTCTTGCAAGCTTAGTAATGGCTGCTTTTATATTTTACTGGACCTGGTACTGGGGAGTATACTGCAGCAGTCAGACTAAGGATTGCTCTCACGTCACGGTAAGGAGCTGTCCCGGCCCGGTCAATCTTATGAGACCGGCAAGATAGGACAGAGGGTCGTCTGAAAAGATATCTGACCTCATGGTTCACGATAGTGGCGTAGTTACAGGGGGCACGGGTGCATATCCCCATCGAGGGGTGGGAAAAAAAAAGCTAGAAAAGAGAGGCAGGGTAGGGAGAAGGAAACGGGGGAGGACGAACACGAAGACGCGCGGAACACCTCCTGAACCGGCGCACCCTTACCTAATGTATTGTAAATTTACATTGTATGTTCTGAGTAAGGGCGGTCCCTCCACCCCCACCCCCTCCCACCCAACAGCCCTTTTTACCGACATGCCGTGTTCGCAGGCCATGTTACAGATCTTCTGAGGGTTCAGGATAGAGTTGTCCGATTTCTCCGTTTCCCTGCTATAAGAGAAAACACAGTATTATATCAAGCTAATGAAAGCCCTAGTAATTTTTTTTTTATAAAGGCCTTTCTAGATTATTTAGATAGTCCAACGGAGCAATCACCATAAAGAAGCAGCAACCTCTTGCATGCCTTTTCTCCTCTGGCTAGCCTGTCTTCATTTTTACTTCAGATATAACTGAGAATTAAAGGTTTAAGATTTTGTTGGTGACCTCATTCATGTTGATATTACATATCAAATTAGGTGTCGTGGTAGTTCATTCACTTGACTATTAATCAGAGTGTTCAGGGTTCCTATCTATTCAATTGTACATGTATGTGCTCATAATAATAATGACGACAATAATAATAATGATATGAATAATAATAATAATAATAAAAATAATATTGTGTCTTGTTTACCCAGAGAAGCCTCATCAGTATTGATAATGTTGTCACTGAGGGCCTGCAATCATTTTACCGGCGTTTACAAGCCACCATGAAAGGTGCTCAATCATTCAAGCGATTTCTCCCTAACGGGTCCCCATTTACTACACCTGGGTACAGAAAGGCTATTCACATTACAAAATAGTAAACATTCGTGTTTTTGCCCATCAAATAACGTTCACTTTTGTTTTCAGATTTACCAAGCGATCCAGGCTGTCATTGGAATCCTGATGGTTGTTGAGTTTGTTGGAGCTACTTTGGGAGCACATGGCTGCTGTCAGGTCGTACCAAGCAAACCAACAACTCGTAGATCTGACGCGGTAAGAACCGTCTCCAACTATATTCATTACATTCTTCTTGATTGTTTGTTTTTGCCTACAGGTTGCTTTAGGTTTATTATGACTTTTCATGTTATTAATTTGCTACCATTGTTTTATTCTTAATTCATTTTTTTCTTCTTCATTTCATTCATTTGGTTTAGTTTTATTCCATTTTTATTCATTTCATTTTTATGTATTTTTTAAATATTAATTTTATTTGATTCTCTTTTATTCGATTTATTGATTCCAGGGGATAAGATACCTTGAATTCAGGATTATTGACATTAATTTAGTAAAAAAAAACACACTCACCTAGTCACAGACAAATAAAACAAACAAAGAAAATGTTAGAAGTGATATATACACGTCATAAAACATGAAAGACAAGTTTTGTTTTACCCCTTTATTTTTATTTAATGTGTTATATACATTCAAGGTACATTACGAGTCGCGTCAACCACCTGCAAACATCAACGTTAGGATTGGAAAAGGTAAAACTATACATTCTTTTAGATAAGTGGAGTTTTCGTGGGATATAGTGGTCCATGCACTTGACTCTCAATCCATATAAGGGATCGAGTCCAAGCCCGGCACTAACGTCCTTTTGCAAGACATTAATCTATATTTGACGCTCTCCACCCAGGTGTAAATGGGAACATGGTAGATGCAGGGGTAATAATAATTACAGTACCCTCAGGAAGAACAGTTTTCATGCTGATCAGACTTTCGAGACTATCTTAAACAAAATTATTATTATCATTATTGTTATAAAGCTTACTACTGGACAAACATTCATACTGTGGAAGAAAGTGTATGAAGGTACTTGGGAGAAGAAAAAAAATGGAACTTAGTAGTATACCAGAATTAATAGAATGCATATATGAAGTTTTTGGAATGTTAAAAAGAGTCAATATTGATAACGATCACAGACGCTGCACACGTAAATTGTCATGTGGGATTTGATCCAAATTATTAAAACTCTTCAGCTATTTCCTGGCATACTTTGAACACGAGGGCATTTCAAAAGCTATTCTTTTCAAGAGCGTCTTCGAGTTGTTGCATTATTTTTGTAAATTAGAAAGAAATCGTGTGGAATAACAAATATAATGACAATTTTTAATCATAAAATCAAAGAAATAGTTCTCCGTTAATCATATTTATATCCTATAACCTGTATAATAATAATAATAATAATAATAATAATAATAATATTTAATTTTTATATAGCGCTTAATACAAATGTCTCTAGGCGAAATCTTTTTTCTGTTTCACTTGGAAAACAGAGTAAATCTGTTTTACAGCTTTTGATCATGTGCTGAAAGCAAGCGTGATACTTATGGTATTTCTAGATAAAACGATGTCAAAATCAATTCAATGTTTTAATGTCTTTTGCTTGATTTCTTTGAGTTCGCAGAAGAATAGCGACAATATTCGTGTGTGTAAAATGATTAAGGATGTTTATGCATCTGAATTTTAGTTTCCTCCACATTCCTAGAGGCTATCACAATAGGTATTCGCGTTTGTCATTAAAATACATTTAATTAGATGTGTATGTATTAAACATTTCCACGTATTTTCACATTTCCAACAGGAGCAGAATCCAACAGACGTTACTGAGAGAGTTTCAGCAAGAGCAATTCTTCATAAAGATGCAAGCCATTGTCGTATAAGCAACCCGGTGATAATACTTCACGTCGACTTTTTGAACACATGATAGAAATTTCTTGTAAAAGTTAAAAAGGCAATTTCCCTGGACGTTCGCAAGCATTTCATTGTTTCCATATTTATTTATTTATTCATTTATTTACTTATATACCTGTCTGTTTATTTATGAATATTTATTTGTTTGTTTTTTTGTATTTATCAAGATATCTCACGAAAATTTCAAAAAGGTTCATACAAAGATAATTATTATAATCATGATTATAATGTGTAAACAATAAAGAGAAAATAAACATTTCAAAGTCCAAAGTTCAAAGCATGAACAGCATCACATTGACTCCAGTTCAACAGCTTCTTTCGACATTCCTTTTCAGAAGGAGAGGCATTGTCAGGAATCTGAAAAAATAAGAAAAACAACATTTTACTCAGAAAGTAAAATGATGATTTAAATACGTTAATGCATCGTGTAATGAATAGGTACCTGTTGAAATTGCTACCATACATATGCAGTCACATTATGTTGTGCGTCATCGTGAAAAGGCTTTTCGAAACGCTTTTTATAGTGTGTCAACTTATCATTTGGTTGTTTTTCTCTTATCCTCTAGCGAGGTTTTTCATTTCCATAATTTCAATTATTTACATTAATTACTCAGTAATTAGTGTCAACATTTTATGAGTGGTTACTTTAATATGTTTAACAAAAATATGTTGCTAGTGTTTTGTCTAGAGCTAAGAGGTGCATGGGTAAACTTGTAAACACGCGTGAATTGTTTAAATTTTTAGCTCGTGTACATTAAAGGTAAAGGCCAGTTATGGTCATGCGATTCCATTGTGAAAGAAACGTTGTGGAATCGATCAGAAAAGGTTGATCAGCTAGCATCTAGCATCTGCAAGGTTCTGGAATCATCAAAAAGATAAGAAATTTGGCCCATTCTTCGTAAAGTTACGAGCACTATACACAGAAAGATGTATATGGGACTACCCTATATCTCTCACAGACCATGAGAGAAACAAATTTTCCAAATATATGAATTATTAGGCGGTTTCCCGGCAAATTTTTTATAATCATGTATTAGTCAAAACATATTCTTTCACATGATTGGTAATGAGAGCTTCCATTTCATTTTTTGAAATTGGGGCGTTTCCAATACTGGTCTTTACCTTTAATTTCCTTACATTCAATTTTGTTCATAATAATGTAGTGTATATTATTTATGTATGTATGGCATTGACAGGGTATAATCACCTTAAAATGCATGGCAGCCATTGGCAGGTGTGTTTGGATCGAAAGAAACAGCTGGCTTTAATAGAACAATCGTGATCATACTAAAATATCAACAAAAAATCTCTTTGAATGAAAGTACGTTTTTAAATAGACCTTAATAAGACATTCTAATATTGATATGCTTGCATAATATAGTTACCTTTCTTACCGTGCATTTAATATATCTTACTTTGTAAATGTATTTTTCGTATTACCTAAAAATTTGTCAATTCTTAGCAAAAATATATTTGTTTCGATGTAGTTATATCATTTGCAATAAGTGAGCTTCGTATAGAGGAATTATTGGTTTGTAAATCCTCGAAAACCATAAATAAATAATAAATACCCGAGATTGCGCTCTCGCTCGCCTTCTTTCTACAGAGTTCGTTGCCTGCATCGCTGAACATGGACGATGAAGATTTCGAGTAGACTGAAGAAAATAAAGAAGGTAAAGGAGAGAATGAGAATAAAATTTGGAATTTACCATTTAATACCCGATGGTACAGCGCCTCCTTAAAGAAAGAGATAGAGAGAGAGAGGAAGAGGGGAGGGTGAGAGAGTTGAGATATGAGAGAGAGAGAGAGAGAGAGAGAGAGAGAGATGGGGGAGAGAGAGAGGGGGCGGCAGAGGCCGGGGAGAGTAAGATGATATCTAGAGCCGGAGAGAGGGAGAGAGAGATCGAGAGAATGAGAGAGAGGGGGAGTGAGGGGGAGAAAGAAGGAGGAAGGGAGAGTTTTTATTATATTATTCTTGTGTGGCCTAGCTTATCAATTAAGCCCTATCATTCAATAATTTGATATTGGAATTGTTTTAATTCCTCCAAAATTAAGATGATTTCCAGGTGTGAACAATGGCACTATTGATACTAACATGCATTATTTTGGATCACCTTTACTTGATTGTCAGAGGAGGTCGGGATAATGTGCGGGCGTGAGTGCGTGTGTACGGGGTGGGTTTGTGTAGGTGGGTAGGTTTTTGTGAGTGTTTCATTCAAGGGTGAATCATAATTTATGCATAGGGAATATATATGTTTGAAGATCGGCAAAAGGAAGCTATAAAGGAGACTCGGAAGATACGACACATACTAGTTGCCTCTTTGTGTTTGAATGATCGCACCTTCACATATTCATAACTAACTTATATATTTAATCGGTTATGCATGCATGTGCTCCAACTTTCTTTGACCCGTTTCTCTGATTTTTCTGCCTTCATATACCATCTTTATATCACGGTACTTCGTTAGGTGCACGCTAGGTGGCGCCCTTTAATGACCAGCGTACACAGCTAGCATGAGCAAGCACTAATCACGCATTATGCATACAACTTTTATACGTGACCAAAACAACAAACTGAACAATCAAATTCGAAAGGAATGGCCTGGGTAAGTGACAATTTTGATGTATTTAATCGCTAAATAAGTTGAATTAAGTTACCGCATGTGCCATTTACGTATGATTCGTCATGGCGTTAATAAAAGAATACATTTTAGGGGCAAGGGGCTCTGATTCCTTCTTATCAAAGCTGCCGCGACTGGCAACCCAAATCGTGACACGTCTAGCAAGCCGGTACTGCAGGGCTACATGTAGGCTAGGGCCGGGTGCGACATGGAACGCGCCCGCTGGACTGAAGGTTCTAACATTACCCGCGTATTACTAATACTATAGTATTAGAGACGTAAGTAGACCGAAAGCTTCAGTCTCTATACCGTCGGTTGTTCCACTGAGACTACGTCTGGCTTCACTAGACCTCCGGTTATACAGACTGAACGATCGCCTATGCCAGCCTAGTTTGAAGATATCACGGCTAGATTTTAGCCGTTAGGCCCCTCCCACAAACATGAACAAACTTGCCACGGCCGTATTGTTATGCCCCCCAAATCCCCCAAAATGTCATTTTACTTCGTGCATATCCAATTTTACATTAGGCCTAGATCTAGGCTATAATACATCGGTTCCACTTACTAACTTGATTGAAATAATCTGTTTAATGGTCCCTTTTAAGGAAATTATGGGTCAAAATCGACATCCATGTTGAAAATCTTGCAAGCCATGTTAAACTCTCGCTGCCGTCAATCTCATCCCTTCTAGTCTACGCCGAAGGCAAAAATGATTATGAAGGAAAAACTGTGATAACGCCATTACGAACGTGTAGATGGCGCACAGTTTTTCCTTCATAATCATTTTGCCTTCGGCGTAGACTAGAAGGGATGAGATTGACGGCAGCGAGAGTTTAACACGGCTTGCAAGATTTTCAACATGGATGTCGATTTTGACCCATAATTTCCTTAAAAGGGACCATTAAACGGATTATTTCAATCAAGTTATTAAGTGGAACCGATGTATTATAGCCTAGGCCTAATGTAAAATTGGATATGCACGAGGTAAAATGACATTTTGGGGGATTTTGGGGGCATAACAATACGGCCGTGGCAAGTTTGTTCATGTTTGTGGGAGGGGCCTAACGGCTAAAATCTAGCCGTGATATCTTCAACATAGGCTGGCATAGGCGATCGTTCTGTCTCTATAACCAGAGGTCTAGTGGAGCCAGACCCCGGCCCCCCCACTCAGTGTTATTTAGGGTACGCATATGCTCGTTCCCTATTTTTGAAAGCACCCCCTATCTGAGGACTGCCAACATTTTCGAACCCCCCTTTCGCGGGCTTTTCGCGGCCTTTTCCTGCTTTGGAGACCCCCCTAAATCAGGAAAAATGCTCAATGTACCCCCCTAAATTCGGAATAATTTCTCAGGAGTCCAAAGAGATAAGAAAAAAAAAGAAAAAACACCCCTTTTTTGAAGAAATCTCCGGGTGAAAGTCAAATACACCCCTTTTTTTACAATTCTCGGGCCGGACTTTGTCGCACGAAAAGTACCCCTTTACCGGACATTTTGGCAACACGCATGCGGTCATTCCGATTTCCGACCCCTGAGTGAGGTGGCCGGGAGCCAGACGTAGTCTCAGTGGAACAACCGACGGTATAGAGACTGAAGCTTTCGGTCTAAGACGTAAGATACTATTATTAATAACCACCATCCTGACCATCAAACAATTGATGAAGATTTCGTTGATTCTTTGTATCGGTATAGCCACAATCAGGGTGCAAAACCATTTGCACTTGGGTCCAAAAATAAAGTATGCAATAGAGCAGTTTCATCAACGCCAAATTGTTCATCCATACCCTGGGGTTAATACCCTGCAATATCCTTGAGGAAACTATCTTGGTTATCATTTTATGAGTATCAACACCACAGGGGGTGGTAGGTGTTACGGACACTACACAAAGCTACAGAAATGGAATTTTCAAGCATTATTTATCTTAACACTCAAATATTTTGCACTTTTTGGGGGAATTTTTTGGCCATTTGTGAAAAATAAAACAATTCACACTCACTTCAGTCCATAAATTAGACGCAGTATGCACATCAGAGGTAACACAAGGTCAAATCTGATAAATGACATTTTTTCAAAACCTGAAACTTTTTAAAAGCCAACCAAACATTGGTAAATGAGACAAATTACAAACTTTAGTCCCATCTGTATACAAATAAAAACAAATCAAATTGCTAGGAAGACTCGTTTCATATCATAAGTTGTCCAAAATAACTTATGTACAAAATCCTATAGGATGTAACGGACACTACATTTTATACATAATACACTATAGGGCAGGTCCAAGCTATTGTCCCCTCTGGGGGTCAAATTTCATCTTTATATATATTTAACAAACTATACATCATTTTAAAGCTGAAACTATGAATTTTATGAATCTGATAAAAAAAATAAAAAATTATCAAAATACGAAGAATGCCAAGGTCACGAACTTTGATTTGTGTTAATTAGCGTGACGTACGGGACATTACATTTTTATTTTTGTATTTCATTTGAATTATTTTTTCAAAATTAAATATTTTAGGACATGTAGACCATCATACTAGAAAATAGGAAAAAAATTTAAAAACTTTCAAAATTAATTAATTATGCAAATGAGGTAGGTTCCAAAGTGTGATGTCCCGTACGTCACAATTTGACATTAATTTGTTTAATTTTAATTATGAAAATATTTTTTTTTTTTAAAGATATTCTAGGAAGTTCTAATTTAGATGAATACCTAACAAAAAATAGGTTTAACAAAAATTACGAAAATTCTGTGTTGATTACATAATCAAATTAAGAAATGTGACGTACGGGACAAGTGTGTGACGTACGGGACAACCCCATATAAAACCAATGCAAGATGTGAAAAAAGGAAATGACCAAAAGGAGAATATATATGTGTTAGGAAACTTGTTGTATGAACATTCCAACTGGGTCCCTTCTAGGAATTTACTCGTACTGTTGTTGTTGTTATTGTTTTAGTCTTAAAGGCATGTGCCATTCAATTATGAACATTTATTGATGTAATTAGTCTTCAAGCCAGACCCCTGGTATTATCAACTTTGGTATTTTGCCAGTTGATGTCCCCAACATTGGCAGGATGCTAAATATGTAAATCATAATAGTACATGTACACTGTACATGTTATGGATCCAGCTCAGGAATTTTGATCTCCTAAAAACTAAATCATAACTTTTAAGGAAGGATAGCCTCACTCACTCTCACCCACTTAGGATTTTCATCACTTTTACACCCATGCATTTTTGTTGAATTACGCTTTAATCTTTTGAATTGTGGAAAAGGTCACACAAACCTTTAGGGTTTTAATTTCTTATATCTGGTGGTGTTAATGAGATGTCTTTAATCAATACAAAATACATTCAAGATTTATATTTTTGTATCCATCTTTCACAAACATGTACATGTACATTAATGTACCAGTACATTAAAATTCTTGAATAAATGACAGCAACATATACATGTACATGTTCTAATCTGTGATAAAAAGATTAAAAAAAGACAATATGTTCAGCGTTTTCTTTGAATTCCTTCAAAATTCTATGATATTACTATCAAGTAATTCAAACAAGCTATGAAGAAAAGATTTCATATTTGTAATGTACTGTATCTTTGTTCACAAAATATGATGTGCCGAGTGTGCCCCTGTGTTTCAAACAAGTTTTAATGAAAGTTTTCAAGTTCAAGTTCATCTTCTTCATTAATTATTATTTTAAAACATTTACATGTACATGTAGCACTGTTGAATGGAATGGATGAAAGAAATGAGAAAAGAAGCATGACTGCACATGATAGATGGGTAAATGGAATAAAAATGGTAATATAGTGTGTGTGTATGAATGTAATTTAATTTGTTTTCTTTATTAAAGTAATATTTGTATTGATTTACCTCATAAATTAACACAGAGGATATTGAGTGATGGTCAGAGGATCTAATTGGGTTCTAAAACACTCTAATTGTCACTGATTTAAGTTAAAATTGTTCATATTTAACAAATTTTGACGAAAATTCTTCATTTCAATGCATTTTCCCATAGGGAAAAGTTGTCCCGTACGTCACGTGTCCCGTACGTCACATACACGCATTTTTGTTTTGGTATATTACATAACAACGAAAGGTCAGAAAAATATGGTAATAGTTGTGATTAATGCTTGATTCCATAATGAATTAAGATATCATTACCATAAATCTCATAACTTAATAAATTCAGAGAATTTTTACGACGAACCTATTTTTGAAAAAGTCAGAAATTCTCTGGTCCCGTACGTCACGCAGCACATTAATTACATTAAAAATTAATTTATGAATTGGTCAGAACTAAAACTTTCCACAAATGAACTAGCCCATAATAGCCACAGACTCATACCAAAAGATAGCCATATAAATAATTTCATCCATTGTTATTTCTTGTTTAAAGTCTCTGAATGTCCCGTACGTCACAATCCAAATAGCTTGGACCTGCCCTATAGTGTACATGCTATTCTTTGATGCAATATATAATTAATCCATTTGCCTTTTTTCTGCAATCATATGTTGTTGCTGCATATCTTGAGGCCAACAGAGAGTATCTTTTCATATCCTCATTACCAAGTATCTTGGATAGGACTTAACCCTAATAAGGCCGGGGACCATTATGCACGCCCCCCCCCCCCCTCCGCGATTTTTCTGATTGTTCGGGAACGCATACGGATGGCGCCCCGCCGCTCGCTGACTTTTTTCTTTCGAGTCTTGCACATCTTTTAAAACAATTTTTTTTTAAATCGGGGGTACAGTTACAGAGTCACATGACCTTTTGTCTTTGCATGTCAGCCCGAAATTGATTTTCGTGGTTTGTTTACAAAACATATATGGAAATGCCATTTTTTCCTAAAAAGAGATAAAACATTGGTTATTGGGTCTTGTTTAAAGTTTTGGTGTTTGTTTTGGGAGTCAAAATAGTTGAATTGTAAGTAGAAATAAAAAATAAAAAGAATAAAATAAAATACAGAAG